GTTAATTTATACATTTTCAGCCAACCTTTTCTCATACATCTTTTTTGATGTCCTAATTTCATGTTTCACTAACTTTCTTGATCTTCTAAATCTCTTGTCATACCAGTAAATTTGAATTTCTTAAATTTATTATGCTTTTCTTTAATTTCATTTCTTAAACTCTTTGCGAGTCAACCTGGTTTTTACTTGTAGCTACCCTTTTCTTTCTATAAGGAATATGTTTAGCTTGAATATTTAAAAAGTTATGTTTAAAAAATTTCCACATCTGATTAATGTCTCCAAATAACTCAACTGCCCAATTCACAACAGATAATTCTTGTCGCATCCCTTCAATATTTAAAACTTGTAATAAAATATCATTATTCCTTATCTTATCATTGAACGTAATAGAGCAATGATCACTTTCACCCATCTTAAGTAAGTTTCTAAAATATTTTTACATCAAAAAATTGGATTACCTTTAGTGGGTGAGCAAAAGGCCTCATCAGCACTGTTTATGTAGTGTAGTTTACATATTATTCTTTGCCTTAGAATTTACATATTTGCTCTCTGTATAGTAAATGTAACATTTGTAAATACAAGATTATTAATAACAAAGAAATCTGTTTATGTATGACTTGAATTTTTTTACTTTCAGTATTTATTTTTATTTCTACAGCTAAAGGTTGAAGACAGTCTAACATCACCTGGTTTTATTAGTGAGAAACAAAGAGGTCAATCATTTTAATCATGGCAACCTCAGCAGTTAGACAGAAGTTCATAGATATAGGTGCAAATCTTACAGGTATATGTACAGCATTCAAAATAATTCCAGTTACAGGAAGTTATTAAATCGTTTATAGTTGTTCACTATTTCCTCTAGAAAAATTCACAGAAATTACTAATTTTCATCATTCAGTTTAGAAACTGGACAAATGACCTGTGTAATAGTGATATTACAACTTTAGTAAAGGTTGTGAACTACAAACTAAAATGTAATTTTGTATATTTACTCTGTAATTGTTCATGTATTGAGAGAGCCAGTATATACATTTGAATGTTTGTATGTTTCTTATTCTTTGAATGATGGTAATGATAAAAAGCTACTTGAAAGGTGTGATTTTATGGCAGGTTAAAATGTTTTTATATATTTGGTGTATACAAAATTGTATTTCTAGAGTAATTTAGTGTTTATAGAATCAAAACTATGTAATTTTTATTGTATAAATGAAGTGTTAGGCATGCCTTATACACAATTCAATTTTATATCTTAGTGTTTAGCTCAAAGTTATCATAACATTTTTATGATATAAGTATTTTATTTACGTACTGTCATTAAAATCTGGAGTAGATAATTCATGATGTTTTAACCAATATTAGTTTGAATTTCTTACTTTTTAAGGTTTCCATGCTTATTATTACCTTATACATTACAATGCCAACATTAATCCTATCAGTGTAAATTCATACTTCAACATTTTATATTTTTAGCTTTCCTGAATGACAGTTACTATAACAGACAAACCTACTAAACATGTGTAACATTTAATGTATAGCATAGCATGTGAATTAGAAAAGGCAAGGATTTTGACTTGGTATATTTCTATTGTATTTATTATATTTAAAAAGTAGAAAGGGCAGATACTATTTGAATTATGTATTATTACTAGAAATACCTCATTGAGGAGATTATTAGAAGTAGAAGAGTTGGTGCCAAGTACATATTAGTACTAAAAGTAATAGTATTAAGATCACCTTATTTACAGTGGGTATATGATGTTTAGTGGGAAAAAATATACACAACGATGAATAGTAAATAAAAATACAAAAGTGATTACTGCTCAGCATTTTGCCTCCCTGTGGTTGGTAGTTCAGAATATTAGGGATGGTGCTATGCTACATGTACTAACACAGAAACATTTGTTGTGGTGATACTCCATGGTTGGAGGGAAGAGATCTTGTTGTTTAGTCAGCACTGAACTCCTCTAGCATGGATTTACAATCAACATATTTACTGTATTCAGTTGAGAGTAGACATAAAGTATTTTATAGTTCATCAATTCAAGTTTGTTGATGAACATTATATTGATAAATTATAAGTTTTAAATGATCTTTTAGAAGATAATATATTAGGCATGGATAATTTTATATGCTGTTAAAGTCTAAATCAGTGTCAGAAACTTACAAGTAACCTAATTGTTCATTATTGAAAATGTCTTAATCTACTTGAAAGCTAGGTTTGACACTGAAATGACATAACATAGATATTTCAAACCAGATACTGATGACTGTTTCAATTACCAATTTAAGTTTTTTTTTAAAGCAGAAGAACTGGACATTTAATTATTACAGTACCATGCAGCTGACTACATTATAAGACAAGTAACTGGTGTTTTTGTTTAACCAAAATAAACTTATTATAAAAGTTGGTTTAAGTTATTTGACAAATGGATAGAGGCTGTAACATTTATTTTTGTTTGGGCATGAAAAGTAGATATTATATGATTTGAGTTGTGAAATACATTAGAGAACTAAACTGATTTCCTGTTGCAAGTCTTGCTTCTTTTTGCTTTTATGACTGGATATTAGAAGTTTGTTTTGTATGACACTACATTACGTGTTGTTTTTTAAAATTTAGACCCATAAAATACTTGTTTTGAATTGTTTTTCATTTTCTGATATAGATTATGCATTTTGAATCATAGTCTGTAATAGTTTATTATCAATAGCAAGTTAGACAGAAATGTTAGTCATTAAAGATAACAGTATATTGCAAAGTATCACTTTCAAAATATTAGTTCTTAGATCATTTCTTTAAAATATTATTAAGTGTACCCTTTAGTGTTTGTACACTTCTTAACTGATCAGCACGCCTTGTGCTAATTTTAGCTATTATTTGTACGATAAATGCTTATTGTGCTAATTTTAGCTATTATTTGTACGATAAATGCTTATTGTGCTAATTTTAGCTATTATTTGTACAATGCTTATTGTGTTAATTTAAGCTATTATTTATATAATGCTTATTGCATTAATATTAGCTATTATTTATACAATGCATATTGCGTTAATATTAGCTGTTACTTGTACAATGTTTATTGTGTTAATTTTAGCTATTATTTGTACAATGCTTATTTACATAATAGAAAACAGTGCTATATTTCTACCAAGCAATTGATGTACTGTAGTAACATTCTGCATGGAATTAAAAATAGTCTTTGATATTATTTGATGTACAGAATCAATACAGTAAACACTGATACCAGAAAATTACTGGATTTTGTATGACATATCAATCATTCTCTGCACAAATGCACTAAAATATCAAATCTTCTGTTACATAACATAATGTTTACATGTATAATCTTCTTCTAGATCCAATGTTTCAAGGAATCTACAATGGTTCCAAGAAACATGTGGAAGATCTCCATGAAGTAATAAAGAGAGCAATAGCTAATGGTGTTGGAAAGGTAATACATGGAACTTAGTTTTAAAGTGGAATGGAAAATCTGTTTTACTTTCAGTATTTATTTTTATTTCTACAGCTATAGGTTGAAGACAGACTAACATCACCTGGTTTTATTAGTAAGAAACAAGAGATCAACCATTTAATCATGGCAACCTCATCAGTAAGAAAGAAGCTCATAGATATAGGTGCAAATCTTATATGGTAGGCCTAACAATGTTTTTAGTGATTCACAATTGAACAAATTTTGGGTCATTGCCAGATACATGAACTTGCTTCAGATAAGTTTAAACTTATGGCAATGATGAAGGTGCATAATGAAGAGATCCTCAGTCTTTTGTAAACAGAGAAGTTTTGAAAAAGTTGTGGAAGTGGATTGTGAAAAGAAAAAGTATACGAAAAGGCAAGGTTACTGATAGCTATTTGACCCATTAAAGTCACTCCTCATTCATCAAAATGGTGAACAAAACACATGAAAAACAAAATACATATAACCCTTCATGTACATAAAACTATATAGAAAAGTTTAAAATAATTAAAACTAATGCTATACATCACAGTGTCAGGCAAAATATTTCACAAGTTGATTAATGTTATTCAAAAAATACTTTTTCTAAAGAACACATTAGCATCTGAAATTGCAAACCATAAGCCTATTACTTCAAAGATTATTGTGCTTATTTTACTGACTTGTTTCAATCAAGTACTGAAAATAGTTTTAAAAAAGGGTGCTTCATGTATTTTGTGTTAAAGCCATTAGCAGACTGGCCCACCATACAGCTGTTAATGTATTTGTGAATTCCACTTGCCTTCTGTATGATGGTGCCCCCTATCAGAAAGTATAATGTTTTGCTGTATCCACTCATCTTATTTTGTACTAGTTTCACAACCCCAGCATTGTTCTGTGGTAAAACTATGCACTTATTAAGCCTTAATACACAACAAAATAGTCTTCCTAATTTAATAAATGGTATTTCTACACTTTTAACATTTTAAATATTATCTTCAGTAAAATCAAATATATGGTAGAAAATTATTTCTGTTTGCTTATTGAATACCTATTAAATATAGTTGTAGCTGAGGAAATGACAAAATATACATTTAAAATGTATGGCCCAAAAACATTGGTTTTCGACCTACAAATTGAATACGGTTGTTTTGATATGTAAGTACTCAATAATACTTGCATCCAATTTTAGACAATTTTAAACCAGAGACATGATACTTCTGTCCTGTAAAACAATATATTACACCAGAGACTTGATACTTCTATCCTGTAAAACAATATATTACACCAGAGACTTGATACTTCTATTCTGTAAAACAATATATTACAACAGAGACTTGATACTTCTGTCCTGTAAAACAATATATTACAACAGAGACTTGATCCTTCCGTCCTGCAAAACAATATATTACACCAGAGACTTGATACTTCTATCCTGTAAAACAATATATTACACCAGAGACTTGATACTTCTATCCTGTAAAACAATATATTACACCAGAGACTTGATACTTCTATTCTGTAAAACAATATATTACAACAGAGACTTGATACTTCTATCCTGTAAAACAATATATTACACCAGAGACTTGATACTTCTATTCTGTAAAACAATATATTACAACAGAGACTTGATACTTCTGTCCTGTAAAACAATATATTACAACAGAGACTTGATCCTTCTGTCCTGTAAAACAATATATTACACCAGAGACTTGATACTTCTATCCTGTAAAACAATATATTACACCAGAGACTTGATACTTCTATCCTGTAAAACAATATATTACAACAGAGACTTGATACTTCTGTCCCTTAAAACAATATATTACAACAGAGCCTTGATACTTCTGTCCTGTAAAACAATATATTACACCAGAGACTTGATACTTCTGTCCTGTAAAACAGTATATTACATCAGAGATTTGATACTTCTCTCTTGTAAAACAATATATTACACCAGAGACTTGATACTTCTATCCTGTGAATTCTAGCTGTATTTTTAAACAAATGCAAAGACAAGTTTCATAGAGAAATAAAATAACTTCATTGTTATAAAACTAGCAAGAAACTACTCAATATAGTAATTTAAGAGCTCCTTCCTTTTCTTGCTAGATTTATACAATTATTGTATTACTAAGAAAATTTGCTATTGCCAATTATAACATTCTCCATAAGAGATGAGAAAATACACTCCACAGTGACACTGTCAGAAAAACCCTGTAAATGCAATGCATTCAGACTAAATTTAATATGTACCATGACCACTGTTGTGTCCCAGCTGAACTGTTGAGACCTGATATTAGGTTATAGGCCTCATTGGCACTGGATATGGTTAGTGTAGTGTACTGGACATATTATTACATTCACACATAAGTTCTTGTATAATTATACAAGTAAAACTTATTTTTTGCATTGACTTCTAAGTTTTAACAGCTTGGGGGCTCTTTCAGGTCCCTTTATGCCCTGAGAGTACACCATTGGTTAGGACTTGTACTTTTTTTGATAAAGATATCTGTTTTGATGTTCTGTATCAAGTTTGAGAAAGGATATAATGAGGTCAATATATTGTTAAACCTAATTCAAGTTATATTTCTTCCAGATTATTGTTACTGGTGGAAGTTTAGAAGATAGTAAGGCATCTTTAGAACTAGCAAAAACAAATGGTAAGAGTAAAGTACATAAAATTTTACTTGTGGTTGTATAAGCATAGATGTTAAATATTTTCTAAGGAAGCTTATATTGGACCCATTAAGTGAAAACAATATTGAATTTTAGCATTAAACCTACGCATAATTTGGTTGAAAAAACAAAAAGTAGGTCCTTGTACCACCTAAAAAAAAAGTGATTCATTGAGAAACATTTCTAAACTTGAATATATTTTCACTATTTTTTGATTGAAACTTTTGCTCACTTATTTAGTGAAGCAATTAGCAAATTAGAAAATATTTATCTGTAAAAAAAACAAACTTCAAATACTTAATATATATTTAAGCCAAGTGTCAGTTTGTCAGTCAATTGGTCACACTCAATTTCTCTGAATTTCGTGAGTTACGCAGATCCAATTCCAATTTTTCTCCTATAATACTTCCTCTTTTGATTGCCCGTTCCCATTTCAGTTGAATTTAATTGCTAACGTAGGTGTAAATAGCTCCTAAATTTGGCACTTTTTCTGCTATATAAAAGCCTGTCAAGAAGGGAGTTCCCAGGACCAGATCAGACATGACATTATGTGTGTGACACCACATCATTTTGACGTCAAGTTAGATAGAATCTGAATTGGAAAGCTAGGAAGACTCCTATGTAAAATAAGCCAAAAATTAATGCAAGCCTGTGCTTGGGAATTATTATGAAATAGCCTTTGTTAAAACAGACTGAAGATACCAATTATCTGTAGAGAAGAGGACAACTTTTCCTCAGAAGAATCACAGGTGTGTATACAACCACATGGTCATCTTATGTTTTAATCTTTTATCCAAAGGTGCCAATATGTAGCATGTTTACACTCTTTAGATAAAGGAGAGATTGCTTATGATAGGCTTTGGTTTCCCAAAACTAAAAGGCCCTTTATATTTCTTATGTCTTTTTATGGATGTCAAAGTTGCAAATGCATATTGGAGGGTCCAAATTTGCTAGGCTTTAGTTTGCTGTCAATTTTGACAGACTTTTATACTAGTGTATAATTTCATGAAATTTTAGAGAGACAAAAAGGAGCTTATTAGCCCATCAAGGATGTCCCTTCCAGCTCCAACTATAATCACCCCTTACTACTCATGTACTCATCCAATCTTTTCTTGAAGTCAGTTAAATTTTTTGCCTCCACCACTCTTGAAGGCAGTTCATTACAAAAGCCAACCACCCTGTTTGGAAAGTAATACTGTCTAAATTGCAGACGACTTCTATTCTGCCAAAATTTGAACTTATGACCCCTTGTCCTATTGTTTTCACTGCTAAACACAAAAAAATTTTGATGGATCTGTATTATTAATCTTAAACACCTCAATCAAATCCCCTCTGACCATTCTCCTCTCCAGAGGAAACAAGTTTATAGATTTTAGTCTCTCCTCATAGAACAATCCCACCATCCCAGATATCATCCTAGTACTCTAGATATCACACAGTACTCTAAATGAGGCCTTATAAGTGATCTATACAGTGAAACAATAATAAAACTGCATGCTTTTATACAGCTGGTTAATAACATTTTTCAAAGTAATAATTTTCATATTGTTACTGCAGCTGGAAAACTTGGAGATATATGTGATTGTTTATTATCTACATATTTGGCCCAACATGAATTTCTTATTATTCAACAGTGCAATACTGCCATGGTAGGCATATGAATATTCCAAAGCCTTTTCTGAAAGAGGATAGTTGTATAGTGAGATTGTTAAATGATGTTGAACTCAAAAGACATGAAATTTCAAAGATGGGAGTCTTCACTATTCTCTATAGAAACAGAAAAACTCACACAGGAAAATATTTAATACAGGATTTGAAACTTTACCACAAGCAATGTCTTCATTTGAACAGTGAAGGCTATGATTAAGAAAGTGAAGAGCCATCACAATGAAACTCGTCATACTTTCTAGTAACATTGGTAAGGTTTAAAATTAATAAAGGCTTACAAGCTTCCAGCCACATCTCAAAATCATTAGTTGTTTTTATGAGAACGATAATTGAAGAAATTGGAATAATAACAAACCTATTTAACTACATATATTTAAAGTCCTCTAATACAGCTTCAATGGAAATTTGTGCTTTTGGTTTGCCTAATATTGTTGTAGAGGCCAACATCCACTTATAATGGAGAGTCCATGGAAAGTTTGTCCAAATGTGTGGTCTAAGACTTTCTGACCATTCTTTGCAGAAATATGCTACAATGAAAATTGTAATGCAGGACAATAGTGCATAATTTATGCCAACTATCATTGTAACAATTGGCTTCAGTGTGCTTAAATTTAGTTTTGGGGCTGTTGTGCTCATTTCTTAGGATTTTGTAACTTATAAGTACATGTGTCGACATTGAACGAACTTTAATGAACTTTATAAAATATATACTATAGAACATCATCAAAACACTTATTTTTATTGCAGGTTTGTATATCTATCTACTGTTTAATTAGTGAACAGGTTTATTAAATATCAGTACCAGTCACTAACGATAAACTATTCAAATATTTTATAGATCCTGTCAAACAAAAAGGTTCTGTACAACCTTTGTATTACAACTTACATTAATATAAGAATATTTGTGTTTGAAATTGTGGTTACTAGATGATTTTAGTGAACATGAAATTAACACGGAATAGACTTCTAAGCTCATGTTTTGTCTTCACAGATGTGTTGTACACCACTGTAGGGTGCCACCCAACACGATGTAAAGAGTTTGATGAATCTGGAGAACCTGAATCATACCTTCAGCAATTGAAGATGTTAGTTTTACAAAATAAAGAAAAAGTGGTGGCAGTGGGTGAATGTGGACTTGGTCAGTGTTAATGTTAGAAATATGCTTAAACTTATTAATTAAGATAACTGTTCAGTTGTTTTAAGCTATTTCTAAGTCAAAAGCTAAAAGAAATCTCATTCTTTGATACTGTAGATATTTGTCTTTTAAAATGTAGCTTGATATTTATGAAAAATAGTCTTATTTTGTCAAAAAGCCTCATATGTACATGATTATGCTTTATTTTTTTGCAATGGTATAACTGAATGTTTTCAAAACTTTAATAAAACATTTTATAATCTCTATTCAACAATATATAAAAAAATTAACAATTATAACTTTTGAAATAGACCTTTACATCCACCTCCCCACCACTCCATTTTTTTACTACTTCATGAATAGTGTATACTTATGGGCTTTTATTACTCTATTATACTTGTATTACTCTTTTTGTTTTATTCTGGAGCTGTATTTCTTTTAAAAAGCTTCAATATGGTGTTGATAGTACTTGTTGTAAATAAAACATTTAATTGATTCACATGAATAGTAAGCTACTAAAGTAAAAGTTTTTGGTTTAAAATCATCTGATACTTTATTTAATATGCATCAGGGAGTTTTCAACTTGTTATAATATTCACTTACAATTCATAAACGTGTTTCTGTGTTAGTATTTTAGTAATCATGGTATTTATGTTATTAAACATGTTCAGATGTTATTTGCCACATTTGCCCTGTTTCTTTAATTTGATTTGATTTGTTTGGCATGTTTTAATTAAGTAAATTATTTCTCAAAGTTTGCTTTTATCTTATTTATAAACTTGCTGTTATAAACAAGTCATTATTGGGATCATGTATTGCAGATTTTTGAAGTTAAAGATTCAACATTATAAACAACTTGTGTCTTCTTTTAGAAAAGATTTATTACTAGCACTATACAAAATAACTGGATAATCTCAATGTGGATTCTAATATTGTTTTGTTGGGTACCGTATGTAAAATGTAAATAAGTGTAAATGTCTTCCGTAAAGTTTAAACCTAAATGACACTTTAAATAGGTTATATCAGAATGTTTATGAAAATTTATTTATGTCACTTATTGTAACTAAATTAATGTTTAGTATGAATCTCCAAAAATATTTTGTACTCTTAGCACCCTCAGTCATTATATTACTTCCTCTAAGGAAGTGTGTACACCCTTATTCATACATGTACACATTCTTGTAACATACTAAGATAACTAATAACAAATTGTATATTAGACACTCTTATTCTGTTGGATTTCATTATCCTCATCTCTTAAAAAGTTTGTTTTTTGCAATTCAATATCATAGTTTGAATTTTTCAAGTTTCTTTTAGAATTGTTAAGTATTTTTTAATAAATCATATACTACAGTGACCCTAGTTGTTAAAGTGTCACACCTTAATATATTATTGGTTAATTTGACAATAATGTCTTTAATACTTGTACAATGAAAGTTATTTAGTAACAATTTTATTGTGTGAAAGTATGAATAAGTTATCCTAATGAAGTTGCATAATCTCTGACAGCTCAATTATTGACATATATAACAATCTCAGTTTAATTTTCCATTTCATATTAAAAATTCTCACAATAAAAAAAAATTGGAAAAACATAATTTGAATGAGGTACTTAATATTCTGATTTGTGGCCTCAACTTCACTAAGTATTAAATATTTCTTTTCATTTTCAGACTATGACAGACAACAGTTTTGCCCCAAAGAAATTCAACAAAGGTAATAATATACATTATATGATTTGCATATTAAGTGGATTTTTAAAGACTTCTAAATAAAAGTGTTGCTTAGAGTAATCTCTTTTTTTTGGAGGGATAAGAAGGGACCTTTTATTGAAAGATGACACATGTGATGTAGAGTATAAAGATAAACCAGAGCTGAACTTATGTTTCACTGTATATAGCCACCAGAATGTGTAAAGTAGCACCAATCTTTTAGTTACAGATTTCAACCGAAGCTCCCTCCAACCAACAAATGAATCCCCTAATAAGTTAATGTTAGCATACTGATAAACAAATGTGCACAGCGCTTAAAATCTTTTATCAATAAGTACATTGTCACTATAAAATTGAAAAATTAAAACATAACTGATCAGATGATGAGAATAAATTGATCGAGTACCTTTACTTTTTTTTTATAATGATGTCAACTAGATTTCAGTTTAATAAAGTAAGATTTAATATCTGATTTTCATTTTATCAGATATTATCAAAAATAGTAAATAAGTAAGTAAATGATTGGGGCCAGCTGGCAACTTTGGAGGGCTTCAGCCCATTGAGAAACTACATATTAATGCTCTTTCTTCTGAGTTTCAAACTATGGATTGGATCTAATTAGTCTTCATGGGAAAAGCCAGGAACCACTAGCCTACATTATTATATTCCTGCCTAGTAACCTTTGTGTTTTTCTAATCTTAACTCTTTCTGTTACCCACCTCCTTTTCAATGTAGGTATTCTGGTTACTAGTATTTCAGAGATTGGAATTTTAAATTTTCAAGATTAGAATTAATTTCAAAAAAGGTACTTACCTCTGAAGAACAGTCCCACCCACCTCCCCACAAGTGGGAGATATGTGGTTTTCCATTTTGGCTGCAACTAAAAAATCTCAATTATGGTGGGAAAGTAGTGCTTATCATGAACCACGATAGTGGTTCATAATAGGGATCACAAGGAACTGCACAAAACAATAATAGAACATTCAGACAAAAAGCACCTTAAACAGTAAAGATTCAGTTCAAACAAAACTTTAAAACTTTTACTATTGACTGCTAAGGCTGTATTCATATACAAAATGCACAAAAAAGCATGCATGTTAGACTTACAAGGGAAAGAAAATTGCTCAAAATGGCCCATTTGTAATTATTATTATTATTATTGTTTTCTTGCCTGCCTACAACAAAAACAGCTCGGTATATTGCACCCAAACCTTTTGTAGAATACTGAATAAGGTACTTTGAAGGTTGTAGTGGTATTGAAAAGTCAATCTGTTTCTTCTATATTTTATATAAGCTAAAAAGCATCATAATTCTAGTGTTAACGATGCCATCATTACCCCTTGAAGTTAGCTATCTTACAAATATTTAGTATTCCTTTAAAGAGAGTACAGGGTGAAACAAGAATTACCAGTCAATAATAGATGAATGTTAGATGACTATAAAATGTAGCTACTTAATGATTTCTATGCTGTACAATTGTTGTCTTTAGGGAGCCAGACTATATTATGTATGAAGTGAAGAAGTAAAAAAAAAATCAGTACACATAATATTAAATCTTATTTAACATGAAGGTTAATTTAAAGTGATGTTTTATTTGAAAAGGCTGCTTTTCTACTGGAAGAATTTGATACATGCTTAGTGGGAGATGTGTCTTAGTCTAGGCATATATTTGCCCATTGTTATGTATTATACATAGAGAATTTAGTTACACAGAAACTATAAATGCTCTGTTTTCTCAATCAAATCTCCAGCTGTAGCTTCAGATTTTACATCTTGTACTAATGTGATCAAATAGTCAATAGCTACAGTAATGTATCATGTAAAATATCAAGTAATCCTTTGACCATAGTTGAGAATAAAAAAATCCAGCAAACAAAACTACACCAAATGTTATTATAGGTAACCCTATTTGCAGGTTTTTAAGTTCCCCTTTTTTTTTTATCTTGTGTAAGCTCTCCTGAAACATGCACAATAAGTCATGTAGAAGATGTGTAACAACAGAGACTTCTGAATATGTTGATGCATACTGTGTTGTATGTTAACTCTTTCGAGACGGGTCACAGGTGAAAGGTCATGTCATCTCATTTGTTGACTCATTAAAAAATTTATTGAACTAATATTTCATGAATATATGTCAACTTTGGTATCAGACTGTAGATTATAATTCAAATTTTAGTACAATATATTACTCAATTTCTTAATTTAAAAGCAAATATTGAAAAACACAGATAAACATCGATTTTTGCATGTCATGTGGTATGTTGAATGCAGCACTGGTTCAAATTAGATGTTTGTGAAGTCAAAATACTAAGTCTATAGTTTTGTAAGAATTAGGAACTCAAATTGCTGATATTGACAAGCTAGTATATAAATGAAAACCTCTTATCTTTTCAATTTGCTAAGATATTGCTCATGTTATAAATCACACAAAGTGGCACCTCTTTCCATTTTTGGAAACACTCCCTTATATACACTTACTTCTATATATGACATAAATAACCAATCAGAAACTCAGAATGTTCCTCTAGTGGCTTTCTCAACCATTTTAACGAGCTTGGTGCCATTTCTTTCTTTTGAACTAATATTTCAACGAGGTAGGGTGTGTCTTTAGTCTGCTTGAAACTTCATATTTTTTTAGACTAAAATACATCATAGTTACTAAGCCTGATAAATTATAGTAGAATTCTATAGTATTAATGTAGTAATTTATGATTTTATAGTTATTCAAATGCATATATAAAACCTAAAAAAAAATACTTTGTTTCATATTCTCAATGTGCAAATTCTTTAAAGGATTAGCAACCTACGTAAAGCAGCAACCAAGTACAAAGGTCATAACTAGAAGAGATAATTGTTTACTTTACTTCTTTAGTTACT